AATAAGCCCATTAAATAATTGTTTGTTGTTGTTAAAATAAAATTCAAATTATAAATCAATACATTTTATTTCAAATTGGATATTGCAAATGTCGGTAAGTGGAATATCAAGCAATTAATTTAAATTGGCGCATGGCAAATATTTCAAATACATCTGCATACATATGTACGAACATAAGTGTAAATGAATATTGAACAGCAAAACAGACGGACGGACGGACCAGACGGAGGAACAAATACAATTTTAAGAAAAAAAATACATTTTGATACAATTTTCTTTCTTTAGAATTTCCAAATTAATTATTCACACATCAAAACGAAAAAAGCGGCACACAGATAAACAAATAAACATACACACACTTATCTAAATATGTTTGTGTAAAAAAACAGAAATACAAATACAAGATTTTGTTTATAGAATTTAAAAATGTAACATTGACTGAATGTTTATGGCCCAAAATTTAAACTGAACAGCAAATAATTTTAAATTTTTTCTGTTTGTTTTTCACAGCCTCGACACGCTTTGTATATCAGTAAAAGTCTTTAATAATAAACAAAATTAAGTTGAATTTTTTTTTATTTTTTAAAATTTTGTTAATTTGAAAAAATATGAATTTGAAATAAGTTTGAGAAAAGCAAAAAAAAAAACAAGTTGTTTTGTAAAAAAAAAAAAACTTTTCTAGAATTATTAAGATAAAAATGATTTTGTTATAAAAATGAGTGGGTTGAAGTAGATTTTTAATTTATGACTTTCGGCTTATTAAAATAAATATCTAATCATATATTAAACATTGTGTTTTTATTTAATGTTGTTTAATCAAAGGAGGCAAATGAATTTATTTATGTATAAAAAATGGTATGAAATTAATTTTCTTAATTAAAAACTTAAGAGTAAATTACGGATTCTAATACTTCCTTTATTTGCCTTAAGCAAAATATTATTAATATTCAATTAAATCTAGCGTAAATAACATTAACCTTGATCTTCTTCGGAATGTGTTACAGTGTGAAGGCAAACAATTTAATATGACCTTTTCACTAATATTCAGTCAAGAACGTACAAAATTTTCATCACTGCGGGATAAAGAAGACACAAAATTTAAAATATTTGAATTCATTTAAATTTTTTGTTTATCATAAATTCTTTCCATCCAGATGGAAACAATTTTGATGCCATCATTAATTAAGGTCTTCAGAAAATGAATTTCAACTACCACACAGACAGACGTTGCTCAATCGACTGCGCTTTCTATAAGGATACAAAGGATTCCGCTAGACTCAGCAAAATTCTATTTAAAAATCAATCAAATCCATCCTATATTAAAAAGAAGGACAACTCTTGGTCGGAATCATCAGCAGAATCTCTTGATATTCTACTCAATACCCATTTCCCTACAAAGAAGTTGTTATGAAAATTGTAAACGTAAACGGGTCTCAATCGAAATAAGCAGCAATATCATTTCCATGCCCAAAATGTCATGGTCGATAGACAGCTTCTCTCCGTTTAAGTCAACAGAACCGGATGATATTTTGCCAAAGATTCTACAAATTGCAAAAGAGTGAATCATCCCCTGGCTTCATTGAATAATCATGCTCTGCCTCTCTCTTATCCACGCTCTGGTCATTTGGCGAAAGATTTTTATTTCCTGGAAAAAGAAGTCATGAAAATTCGAAAGACTTCCGACCAATTAGTCTTTCATCTTTTCAACTCAAGACTCCTTGATTCACATATATATTACTGCTCACTGCGGCTCACTGCGGATGTCAATGTTTCAATACGCCTACCTTAAAGGGAAATTCAACCCACCCCCCTTTTAAAACCGAAATTTTTTCATACAAAATATAAAAATGAGGAAAAATTAAAAAAGTATATAAGTAAAAAACTAAATTTCCCCCCAAACGCTTGAGCTGGGTCCCTGCCTGATCTACAAAGACAGCTCTACATGTGGTTGTCCGAGTTATACAAAGGTGACTCGAATTTAAATAATATATTATGGAAGACTTCTTAGACATAAAAGGTGCCTTCTATAATGCAATTCAACAAGCTCTCACCAACATGGATATCGAGGAATATGTCAGCAAACGGTTAGTAACAATGTTGAAATGTACCACAGGGTAACGTGATCTCTTCACTATTTTGGCACATTGTAGTTGACACAATTATTATTGAACTGGATAATAGAAGGATAAAATATGTTGCTTACGTGAAAGATGTTGCGATACTAGTACCCGGAATGTTTCCCGACATGACTAATGATGTAATGCTCTGGTGCTACTCAATGACTGGGATACAGACAGTCAAATTCCGCGATTAAAGAATTGTGAAAATCCCTTATCAAACTGTCATCGAAACTAAACGTCTAATACTGAGTCAGAAAAGCAACGGACGCCTGCTACACCTATCCCAAGATGTTTGGGATAAAATGAGGACATAGTACCAACATTGTTAAATATGTAGATATAGTACTTCCTGCACATACATATCGATCTCTTATATGGCGGACAATGTTCAGAGATCAGCATCCGTTGGAATAACAGGAGCTCTAAGAACTAGTCCCTCAAAAGCTTTGAAAAATATATAGTACATTCTACCTATAGACCTTCATATAATGGCAATCTCTGCGTTCACAACAGCGGGGCTTAACTCATCTTGATCTTGGAAATCAAAAAAGTATGGACATGGTAGTATTCTAAATCTACTGCCCCCAATCTAGAGCCAGCCATTCGACTACACTACCCTTTGATACAGTTTTCAAAGTAAGAATTCCTTTCTTCTACCTTCTGAATATACCACCAGGATTTATACAAATGTTTCAAAAATTATTTGTGTTTGGGTGCCTTTTATGAAAAAGCTGGGATAAATTGCTCCTAACTAATATGGGTCCTTGCACATAGGAATATTAGAGCAATGAACAAACAAATGAGCTAGCCAGAAAGGGATCTGTTCAGGATGTCTCTAACGCCGCTGGGTTCTATCAAAAGTAATATCCTCAGGTTCGAAAGGCTGAAAATAGATAGATTAATCTGGACACATATGTATATAAAGGGGCTATGTGTCCTCTTTCAATGAGAAACGCAATAGGTAGCTTATTACCCAAAATGGATGCGATCTCTCCAGGCTGCTGCTTCAATGAATATTGTCGCAGTTGCAAAGACCGGGAAAAGGAATTAACGGTCTTCGAACGCTGCCAAGAGAAATGTATACCTTGGCAACTACTTCTTATCCTACCTTGGTGAGCTTTCTGAGTCAAAGATATATAACTTCCTGAGATTTCTCACTGTTACTATATATAATACTACAACTGAGTGGAGTGGTTCTGTTAAACTTTCTAAAGAAAGTATTCCAAAGTTTCACGCCTTCTTAATTGTTCATTCGGAAAAGTTTTTTTGTTCTCTCGTTAGGGTCACCCCACCGTTTTATTATTTCAAGTAACCGTATATGATTATTGCGCTCTCCTTGGGTCGAACGGTTGATAGCAACAACATTCGATCTTCAATTGCCAATTATCCCCGAGTGGAATGATACCCAGTCCTTCGTCCAGTTGGTTAAGAGTATTGCTAAAGTTTTCACTGGTGGTAGTTTCAGGTTACGTCCAGTGAAGAAGCTATGTATTTCTCTGAGATAACCATTCACTCGATCGCATAGCTCATCAACGTTTTGGCCCGTTGCCATTATGGTGCAGTTGTGCGCATATGATATAATTTCCACACCCTGTGGAGGTGTGGGGAGTTTAGAGAGGTAGAAGTTAAACATTAGGGGAGATAGGACACTGCCCTGTGGTACTCCTTGTTTAACTATATGGGTTTTGATGGCTAGTCTCTAATCTCAACGAACGACTGACGACCATGCAGATAATTCACAATACATCTCTTCAAACTGTTGAGCATGGTGGACTGCAAGATATCCTGGATGAGTGTGGTATGGCTGACTGTATCGAAGGTTTTCAATAAGTCCAGCGTCACACTGAGTGGTTATGGCGGTTAATGCTGAGGTGGTGCTGTGCATCATACGCCTCAAGAGCCTTAGCGACTGGTGATAGGATGGAAATCGGCCTGTAGGATTGACCCTCTGTCGCGTTCTTCCATGGTTTTAGTATCGGGATGACTCTATCCTTTTTCTAAGCATTGGGTAATATCAGGCTGCTCGTAGACAGGTTAAAAACCATTGTCAAGCATCAGCATGAAAATGTCATCAGGGTCAATCGCCATAGATGGTTTGGCAGCGTTGATGGCCTTTGCAACTTCGGAAGGGGTGTCGGTAAATATCCTAACCTTTGGTGGTACCATATTTATTCCAACACTGTTTTTACATGCCGTTATAGCTCAGACTTCTGACTGGAAGCTAGTGTTGTAAGTAAACGTTAGTGTATTTAAATTTCTATGTTTCTAATGTAGATCTCCAGGTCCTTATTGTCTTCCAATTTAGAGCTATCGGTATAGTAAAGGATTCCTGCTGGTATTTGCTCTAATGTTCCGCTTTACCATGATATGCTTTCTGATATCAGAGCTTAAAGCTCCCTACAAGTTCTCTGTCTGCCATGCGATCGGGAACGTTTGATATGAATGTTCATTAACATTTCGAGAGTCTTGGTTGCCGAAGTGCTCATGAAACTTGTAGTGGTTTCTTTCCAAAGATGTCCGGATTAATCGCGCTTTTATGAAGCCATGCGTTCTTTCTTTTTAAAATCTGTAATTTCAAAATCATTTTACTCAATTCCAAATTAAGTATTTTAAATAAAACCCATTTAATTTAAGTGATCAGTTCATTTTTTTATTATTTGAAACGCGTTTCTTTATTTTTTTCTATTATTTTAACTAATTTTACATTTCTTTTTAAATATAAAATTAACTTAAACATAAACTTATGTTTACTTTATATAAAATACAAAAAACTTTTTTTTTACTCTTTTAATTTAAAAAAAATACAATTTCCTTCTAATAAATTTTGTATAGAAAAGAAAAATGTATTGGTGTTGTTGTTGTGAGAGTGAGTGTTTTGTGTGTATATGTTTTTTTAAAAGGAATTTTTAACTTAAACTAAAACCGTACAAAATTTTGAGTGAGGGGTGGGTGGGATTTGAAGGATCTGAAGGCATTTACTTGCCGAGCAAGATTTTACGGCCAGCACCGATGTTTTGACCAGATTGGGTGGCACCCTTGTTGGTACCGGCTTGCAAGCCAATAACGGTTTGACCAGCCTTCAATTGTTCTTCGGTGAATTCACGTTTGCATTCATCAGCAGGCTTGGGGCCCAAGAAGGGACCTTGGAATTCAGGGTGTTTGTAGCACTGTTAAATAAAATAATAGAAAATATTATTAACGTATTTTAGAGGAAGAAGCGTTAGTATAACTTACAGCACGACCCAAAGCAAAGATGGTGTTGGTTACTTGGGCAATATCTTTCTTTTCCCACAAATCAACAGTTTGGAATACATCAAGATCGGGTACACCGTAAGCCTTCAAGGCCTTTTGGAAGTTGTTGATGTTTTCCATCATCTTGAATTGACCGCCAGAGGTGTTGATCTTGGGCACAGCATTGGGGGACAAAGTGTTGATCAATTTGCACAAAACTTGACCGTCCTTAAGATGTTCCTCGTATTCAACACCAGCGGGGAATTTCTCACCCAAAATGGCTTCCATCCATTCTTGGGCTTCTTTGTCCATCTGGGGGTTACGCTTGCCAGCGATCTAAGAAGAGTAGTAGAGTGTTAAACAAATTTTAGTTTTAAGTACAAAATATTAAAAATATTTTTAGAATTTTTTTAATTTTTTCACATTTTTTTTTATAAATTTTTTAAAAAATTCTAAATTTGTTTAGTTTTTTTTTTTCATAAAATTTTATATAAATATTTTCTTTATAATTAAACTTAATTTACTTCTGTTTATAAATTTTACGATTTCTTTGAACAATTTCAATTTTTCACATTTTTCTAAAATTATTTGAAAAATATTGTTATATTTTTATTACAACAAATTCAAGGTTAAATTAGAAATTTCGAACTGTTTCATTTTTCAAATATTTTGTACACTTTTTTCATAATTTTGTTAATTTTTAGGATTTAAATTTTTAAAAATTTTTCAATATTCCAAATTTTTTCTTTGTTCACTTAAAATTCACTTAAAAATGTTCCTTTTTTTCACTGTTTCCATATTCACCTTAGCCTTAATAGCACGTTCGAGAGACATGTTGTGTTTTGTTTTGTGTTTTTTGGAAAAGTTGCTTTGCTAAAAATCCAAAGTAGACTGATACTGATCCTCGCCGATGCTAGAGTTTATAAACACCTTGATTTTCAATTCACAATAAACGTTATTAACGTTATTTTTCCGCGGCACCCACACACTCTCGCTAAATATACGAATGAACATAAAAAAAACACTCAATTCCCATTAGCTCTCACGCTCTCCGAAAAGTTCACTACAAGTCCATAAGCCCAACCACAAACTCATTTTAACGGAAAATTTTCTTAACAATAATTTCCAAAAATATCTATCACACAACTCACTCACTCAAGAGTATAAATTTAGCTACACGCCCACGCATTTTTAAATGCTATTAGTAAAATTGTTCAAAAATTTTCATCATAAAGTACAAAAATATTTTTTGTTTTTTTTTTTTATTAAAAACATGAGTGTACATTTTATAATTATATATTTCCTAAACTTACTAGACCATTCACATACTTTTTAACACCCCAATTCACACTTCTCGAAAAGTACTTCCTAATACATATCTCTCCCTCAACAATTAAGGAATGTTGTTATTTTGTTTTGTATCCCTCAAAGAAAACACACAAAAATTATTAAACAAATTTTTTTTAATAATATTTTTAATGTTTTTGTATATTAAGAAAAAAAACCCAAAGAATATTTGAAAAATAGTTTTCGTTTTTGTTATGATGCACTAAATTATTGTGGAAATTGTGAAAATTTTTGTTTATCATCGATCATTTTTTTTTATGTTAAATTCATAAGAATTTCCCCTTGATCAATCAACAATTTATGTTAAAAATATGTGTGTGAAATGTGCATTTGAAATAAAAACTTATTTGTAGAATGTTTATTTTAAAAATCATAAAATAATTTGGTTTAAAAACTGAAAAACAGTTCAGGAAAATATGTACATATGTATGTACAATGTAATAAATAAATCAATTCTAAATATTGAAATTGTAAACAATAATTGGAAAAATGTTAAATGATTTATTTTAAAAAGTTAAAGTTTTATTAGATGTGCAACGCATTCTGCATTTTATAAATATAAAATATATTTCTGGTTTAAACAATTTTGTTAAATATCGGTCATCAAATATATAGAAATATTCATATATGTATATATTTTGAAATATAGTTAGTAAAGTCGATTTAGCAATATTCGACTGTCTGTTCTTTGAAATCAAGGCCCTAAAGCCCACAGGCTACTTGGGAATTCAAACCTTAGATATTTCTATTAGTCATTCCGTTTACAACACATCGAAATATTGGTCGTATATATATGGTCATATATTTGATCTCATTAGATTCTAGTCATGTCCGCCCGGCGGCGTGGCTGTTAACGAAAAGAGCTAGGCGACTGAAATTTTGCAAATATACTTTCTAGTTTAGTAATGGAAACGAATAAAATCGACCCACATTAGAACCTAGCCACCATACAAATAGAGTAATGAAATCCATCATAACAAGGATTTTTTTTTTTGGAACAAACATCTTTCTACCCAATTCTATGAGGATCGGTACATAATTGGGTATGATCAATAAGGCGCTCTTCTTATATAAAGTCCCCTTCATAAAAAGACTTTAAATGAAGTTTTTCATAAACAAGATCTAAATTTTACTCTTTAGTAAATGACATTGTCGCTAAAAATTGACTTAAAAAAGATATCTGTCTAATTTTGTGACAATCAGTTCATATTGGATCCAAGCCCATACATAAGATTAAACAAGTAAGAAATTATAGTCGGGCGTGGCCGACCATATGATACCCTACACCAATTGCGAATATTAAATGTGATTAATTTCAATAATAAAGCATTTATGTTAATCTTATATAGGTTCCAAATAATGTCTGTTCATGTTCGATTGTATGCTGACTAGGAGAAATAAAAACCGATTTTAATCATTTTCAACAGCCATCGTCAGTGGATCCAGAAAATAGTATGTGACACATTTTAACAAATTATATTCAAAATTGCGATCTGTTGCGTGCACACAAGGTTTATACGGTCACAAAGACGGGCATAGCTTAATAACGACAAATATTTTTGAGTGTTGCAAACATCACCACATTGTGCCGACTTTTGGATAGATAGTAGTATATTAGACGTAGTTAAAAGATAAACGGCCGAAATCGGAAGGTCCGGATGTATGGGGGCTAAGGCAGAAATTGAGCCGATCCTTATCAAATGTGTTATTGGGAATTATCTATATACATATATAAAAATGAATGTGTGTTTGTTTGTATGTTTATATGTGTCAAATTTTCACAGCACATTCCTGTATGTCTGGCAATAGGCTACTTTTTTTTCCGATCATGGCGAAAAATGACAGTGTTATTTATAATTATATTAAACTTAGTCGTTCCAATTTTTGGGAAGATAGTAGTATATTTATAGTAGTTATGATCTAAAAGGCCCAAATCGGTAGGTCCGGTTGTATGGGGGCTAGGGCAAAAATTGGTCCGATCTTTATAAAATTTAATGTCGACATTTATGTTTATATAAAATCTATTTGTGGCAAATTTCATCGTGATACTAGTGTTTATAAGTGAATTGTGGACATTGAAGTCATTTTCTGAAGGGAATTTTGTATGGGGGATAGGGTCAAATAATGCCCGATCATTATAAAAATCGACAGTGTTATTTATAATTATATCAAACTTAGTTATGCCGATTTTTGGAGAGATAGTCGTATATTTGACAAAGTTATGAGCTAAAAGGCCCAAATCGGAAGGTCCGGTTATATGGGGGCTAGGGTAAAACTTGGTCCGATCCCTATAAAATTTATTGTTGGGAATTATGTTTATATAAAACTCATTTGTGCCAAATTTCATCGTGATACTAGTATTTATAAGTGAATTGTGGACATTCAAGTCATTTTCTGAGGGAGACTTTGTATGGGGGCTAGGGTCAAATAATGCCCGATCTTTACGAAAATCACTATAATTATTAAGACATATATATAACTAATTTTTTCCAATTTTTGTAGAGATAGTGGATCATTTAACATAATTATCAGGTCAAAAGCCCTATTCGGGGGGTCCGGTTGTATGGGGGCTAGCTGAAATAATGGACCGATTTCAACCATTTTCAATAGCGTTCGTCCTTGGACCAAGAGAAGTGCATGTTCCAAATTTCATCAAATTATCTCAAAAATTGCGACCTATAGAGTGCGCACAAGGTTTACATGGACACACAGACAGACAGACAGACGGACAGACGGACATAGCTTAATCGACTCAGGAAGTGATTCTGAGCCGATTAGTATACTTTAAGGTGGGTGTAAGACCAATATTTTTGGGTGTTACAAACATCAGCACAAACGCATAATACCCTCCCCACTATAGTGGTGTAGGGTATAAAAACTTAACGCACAAAAAGAAACATGTATAGAGATGAATTTCAACATAAACTAGTTTTATAGGAGTCAAAATCTTTGTAATAAATTTTCTATGCTGATCGGTCTATAACTGATCATACCCCCCATTTAATGTCTCCTCGAACAGATATCGCTATGGAGATTATATACTAGACTATAGAATAGACTATAGACTAGAGTATAGATTAGACTAGACTAGATTAGACTAGACTAGACTAGACTAGAGTATAGACTAGACTATAGACTAGACTAGACTATAGACTATAGACTAGACTAGACTAGACTAGACTAGACTAGACTAGACTAGACTAGACTAGACTAGACTATAGACTAGACTAGACTAGACTAGACTAGACTAGACTAGACTAGACTAGATTAGACTAGACTAGACTAGACTAGACTAGACTAGACTAGACTAGACTAGACTAGACTAGACTAGACTAGACTAGACTAGACTAGACTAGACTAGACTAGACTAGACTAGACTAGACTATAGACTAGACTATAGACTAGACTATAGACTAGACTATAGACTAGACTATAGACTAGACTATAGACTAGACTATAGACTAGACTATAGACTAGACTATAGACTAGACTATAGACTAGACTATAGACTAGACTATAGACTAGACTATAGACTAGACTATAGACTAGACTATAGATACTATAGACTAGACTATAGACTAGACTATAGACTAGACTATAGACTAGACTATAGACTGACTATAGACTAGGACTATAGACTAGACTATAGACTCGACTATAGACTAGACTATAGGACTAGCTATAGACTAGACTATAGACTAGACTATAGACTAGACATAGACTAGACTATACTCTACTATACACTAGACTATAGACTAGACTATAGACTAGACTATAGACGACTGACTATAGACTAGACTATAGACTAGACTATAGGACTAGACTATAGACTAGAACTATAGACTAGACTATAACTAGACTATAGACTAGACTATAGACTAGACTATAGACTAGACTATAGACTAGACTATAGACTAGACATAGACTAGACTATAGACTAGACTATAGACTAGACTATAGACTAGACTATAGACTAGGACTATAGACTAGACTATAGACTAGACTATAGACTAGACTATAACTAGACTATAGACTAGACTATAGACTAGACTATAGACTAGACTATAGACTAGACTATAGACTAGACTATAGGACTAGACTATAGACTAGACTATAGACTAGACTATAGACTAGACTATAGACTAGACTATAGGACTAGACTATAGATATAGACTATAGACGACTGTAGACTAGACTATAGACTAGATATAGACTAGACTATAGACTAGACTATAGACTAGACTATAGACTAGACTATAGACTAGACTATTAGACTACAGACTAGACTATAGATAGACTACAGACTAGACTACAGACTAGACTATAGACTAGACTATAGACTAAACTATAGACTAAACTATAGACTAGACTATAGACTAGACTATAGACTAGACTATAGACTAAACTATAGAGTAGACTATAGACTAGACTATAGACTAGACTATAGACTAAACTATAGAGTAGACTATAGACTAGACTATAGACTAGACTATAGACTAGACTATAGACTAGACTATAGACTAGACTATAGACTAGACTATAGACTAGACTATAGACTAGACTATAGACTAGACTATAGACTAGACTATAGACTAGACTATAGACTAGACTATAGACTAGACTATAGACTAGACTATAGACTAAACTATAGACTAGACTAAGACTATA